GGGGCTTAATGATTGGACTCTTAGGTACTTTATGTTCCGCCCTGAGCAACCACTTCGGCATATGTTTTGCTGAACGCGTTGCCAACTGTCTTTGCATGCGCCCGATGTACTTGCATATATTTGCAGTGACAGTTTACAGTTGAATAAAAGGTCGCGAAATTATAGGACGTCAATAAGTTCTGTAAATACCTTGATCTTCGCCTTTCATTTTTATAGATTTTAGAAGTATTGCAGTGGATACTCCTAATTTTCATGCAACGGTAACATTTACGTTGACGGTCATATTTATGTAATAAGTAATCTTAAAATCAGTCCCATGATTAGAAGATATGCAATAAGTGGTTGCATTGCATATTAACTAACATTTGTAGAACACATGCTCTTCAGGTGTCTAAGCTTACTTTTAGGACGCTACATGCGTTTGATCCTGAAATCATGGCGTTTGAGCATCCTTCTTTTGGGCATTTGAGCGATTGCGCGGTTTGTGAAGTTCCACCGGGTCCCCTGTAAAGTACTTCAGCTGATTAGCTCATTGGCTGTCCTGAAGCCTTGCCCTTGCTGTCGTGGGTCCGAATCCCACCGAAACCATAGTTTTTCATAATGCGATCAAACTAATAGACGCAAAAAAGCCTACTAACACAATAATAAGTAGACGTTATTTTCGGTTTTAGCTTCGCGGCACCTTCCTCTCACAGGGCCTGCGGTACGACGTGGATCATGAGCGCCGTAGAAAACAGCAATTAAGTCTACTCTACGGCCGAACGCGTGACGAGGTTGAGGAGGAGGAACGCCTAATTGGTGAGTTAAATCGTATTGAAGCACGCCGCCGAGATCGGGAACGAAAGAAGCAGGATCTGCAAAAGCTAATTTCTCAGGTATGTGTTTGATGGCCGGTTTTCTTTACCTCCCTGTTTATTATCCAAGTTATCTTAATCACGCCTGATTGATGCTTCTCCCACCTAGGCGGAATCGGTGGCCCGTGATGGTACCGATCGATTGGAGTCGTTTACTCCAACCGACGAGCGTATTGGTCTTTCCGGTGGCCTTACTGCCGATACCACTCATTCAGCGTCCAATCCTGGCGCATTGGCGTTTCATTCTTCAAG